ATCTACAAAGTATTTGTAGCTGTCTATAGCTCTTTAGATTTCTCAAAATGATAGGAGAAATAAAAATGAGATAACAGCATTCTTCTAATTAAAGCTACTGCTTCATAAAAGGTCTATGCAGATAATGAAAAAGTTCTGACAAAAGTGGTCCAAACGCATGCTGTGCTAGCACTGAGTGCCAATCAGGCCGCGCATTTGCAACAGTAGAGACCTGGGTACCAGCCATACCCTTCCCGCATCTCCTTGCCACCATGTTTCTGAGTGTCTGGGAGGTGACAATTCCTAGTAAGGCTCTGCATGGGGACAGGCGTGAGCCAGGCTGACAGTTCCAACCTCTTGAGCAGAGTGCTCCTGCAGGCAGGCCCTTCTGCAAGGAGCAGTGTAGCTAGAGCTCAAGGTGAGAAGGAGCCAGCCAAGCAAACGTGTAGGAAAGGAGGCTCGGGTGGCGATTGTAACTGTGCTCATACCAGGTGTGTGTGGAGCAGATGCTGAGACGTGGCCCTGCTGCATAGTGCTCACCACAGAGCCTCACAACAAAAATCACTTTTAATTTGGGTACATATTGCCAGAGTCGCCTCCAGAGAGGTTACATTAATTTATTCTCCCACCAAACACATAGGAGCATGAGGCCACCAATACGCCTTCAAAATAGCTTTTGTGTCCCTCAGGAATGTGGTCCTGAAACCACTCCACCATAAATGCTTTGAATACGGAGCTAAAATATTCAAGGTCGTGGGGATCAGGGCCCTGCTTTGAACAAGAAAAAAATCTGTTCAGGGCAGATGACTGTGTCCTGAACACTTCCAGGTCCAGAAAGACCAACAGCTCTCTCAGGAAGACAGCCTCCACCTTCCAATCACGGGGTCTCTTATGGTCATGATGCTTCCCATCACCCCCTGCAGCACAGCTGCCAAGTAAATGCAATTCGGCTATGGGTTTTCTCTGTTTTGACTAACCAACTTCACAAAATTGCTCTCAGCACCTTAATCTCAGCACCCTGAGACAACCAATGTCACCATGCATCGATGTGACAGCACAGAAACCCGCGTTCTGGTGAACCAGAACGGCCTTCTTCCGGACGAAGACATATTGCTCTGATTCCTCCAGGAAACAGGAGCCCACTCCGTGTTCCAATCATCCAGATTCTTGAGTCAGGCCACCAAGGCACACGGACTTCTTGGAACCATCCCTCAACACCAGGACATTCACATCTTTTGGTTAAGAGGTCAGATTTGAGAGTCAACAAATTCAGACTGGGACATCCTCCTCTATTCCCAGTTTTCTTCACCTGTCTATGCCTTCATTTCTCCATCTATAGATAGGGTAATAACAAGACAGAGTTCTGTGAAAATGACCTGGCACACAGATGAAAGGGAAGCAAATGGCCATACCATCCTCAGCACGGTGCTCGCCACCGAGTTGAACGACAAAAATTACTTGATAAGAATGGTACTTGCATTCAAATGAAGGTGGCTGGTTTCAAAATGAATAAAATGGGACCTGATTAACATCGCTCAGACCTCCCCACCCCTAGACCCTGAATTTAAAGCAGACCCCAGAACTTCCTGTTGTCTGCTGCCTGATGAAGGTGTGGGGTGAGAGAAGAAGACTGCACTCTCCCTGCGGTGGGAGGGCATTGGTTTCAACACGATGCCTGCGGTTTGGGGGGATGCTCTCAAAGTTATATTTTTAAGTAACAGACATTCACATTGCATTCATGAGTACTACATTCAAATAAAAAAACCAAAAAGGGAAAAAAACACATACTTAAACCCCTATCCGTATTAGGAAGTAAAATACTATTTTAAAAATGCCACCTGGAGAGACGAAGCTTACTATCCCATGCCTACAGTTTAATCCACCAATTCAGTCTGTCGTGAAGAGGGGTCCTGGGATATGGGGTGAGNTTTATTTTATTGTTCCTACTGTTTACAAGTCTTTATTGTACACTTAATAGTTTTTGGAAGGAAAAAGGGTACAAATTACAGATAAATAACAGGGCTGGGGAGTTTTGGTAACTAAAGATGGTAACTAAGACTACAGAACACAAAAATAATGCCCAAGACACAGGCATACTGAGTTCCTGCTTTCAAGTTTCCCAAATAAATACCTATTTTAGGTGCTGGTCACACATCCTGATATTTGCTTTATGGCTGGTCTCTGAAGACCACCTCAGCATCACGTCTAGTGGCCCAGTCTGTCCCTCATGTGACACACAGCCCCAGGGGAGGCCCTCGGTGGGACTGTAAAGCCCTCGATACTTGAGTGTTGTATCCCGTCAGCCCTTTCCCAGGAGCCATCTACATGGTTCAGTGGGGCTGCTGGTCACGTGGCACCATGACTCCATTGCCCCATGTTTCAGGTGGGGTTGGTAGGGTAGTGACAGCTGTGACTGCCTTATTGAAAAGTAAATGAACACCAACCACCCCCAGAGACCACGTTGTAACTGCTGCCAAAACTGCCTGACAGGGACACAGCAGACCCCACCCAAAAGCGGTGCCCTGCACCAGCACTCACCACAGCCCTGACGTTGTCATGGGTACTCAGGACGCCCTTGGGCCTCCCTGTGGTCCCGCTGGTATAGATGATCATGGCCCCTCGGTCTCTCCAGTCTCGCTCCGGCACCTCCCCTTCCCTGGGCTCCTCGGCCGTCCCATCGTAGACGGCAGGCGGGAGGGGCAGGAGTGGGACCCCCAGCTTCCTGACTACTGGACTCAGGAGCTCCACGTACTCCTGGCCGGCGAGAACTAGGGAGCTCCGGGAGTCCTGGATAAAGTACTCCAGGTCGGCCAGGGGGTGCTTCCTGTAGAGAGGGACGGCGACGCCGCCGCTCATCCACGAGGCCCACTGCGCAACCACGTAGGAGACGTCGTTGGAGCACATAAAGGAGATCCTCTCCCCTCGGAGGTCCCGGCTGGCACACTCACGGAGCCTGCAGATCTCCTGGGACAGGCGGAGGCTGCGGCAATAAAGGTCCTTGTATGTGTGGTGGCCGTGTTGGTCAACGAGGGCAACTCTGTCCCCAAAGGCCAGGGCACGGGTAAACACTGGGGCACTCCTGTCAGAGCAGGTTGCTGGGACCACGTGCAGGGGGCGGCTTCCTCCATGTCTCA